ATGTTAGCTTAATCAGAAAGGGTAATTCTCATTCAATTGTTACCACATTTTCTGATCGCTTGAATTATTTTTCTAGACATTTCTTTATGCCAAAAAGTGGGAACAATTATTGGATTACTAGATACAATTCTTTCGTTATCTCACTCTATTTTCCATCAAGAAAACTTTGAACTAATAATTCAAATTCTTATAAACAATGGATACTCATTGAAACTCATTTTCACTGAAATCAAAAGAAGGTTGTCAAAAAAATTTAAATAAATAAACGACCAGATTAACACAAGAACTAACTTAAAGACAGAATGATGAAAAAATAGGAAAATTAATCACAAATTTTTCACAAATATATTTTATCCCATTTTAATCGGAAAAAATAAAAAAGTTTTTTAAAAAAGACTCCGTAATATGGCTACAAAGGGATTAGTAATCTTAAAAAATTCATTAGTCATAAAGACATTCATTCCAATCTATCTTGAACAGACGTTATATATAAAATTGATTGTCGAAACATCATATGTGAGTCAGGTAAATCAAACAGGTAGATGTTTGAAGACACACATTAATGAACATAGGAATCATATAAATTGGAATACAACACAACATTTTGTAATAATAACTGAAACAGAATTAATCATCAACATGAATTTGATTGGGAAAATATCAAGATATTAGATAAAGAAAAGATTCTTAATAAAAGATTACTATCGGAAATGATTCATATAAAGCAACAGAAACAGAATTTAAATTTACAAAATGATATTTATTCTTTAGATTCATTATATATGAATTTGTTTACGGAATTGTGATGTGCTTCTTCTCTTTTTTCTTTCCTTCATGTTCTTAATTTTATTTTTATTTCAATAATTATTTGCCTTTATTATTTTCATTCTTATTTCAACTCTAATCGCTGACACCACAAAAACGTTACGTCATGTGAAAATGATTACATATATAAGTTTAATAAAATTTAAAGACAAGTGATTTAATTTATTCTCTTTGTTCATTTTCCATTTTTCTTATGAATGACTAATGCCCATTTCCATCAATGTAGATAGATATAACTTTAATTTCGGTTCAATTTACTCTTTATCTTTTTCTAATCTTTAGAACTAAAAAAAGACGATGAATAAGTTAAACCGAGATTAAAGTTAATCTACGTTGATGGAAATGAATATAAATAGAAATCTGACAATTTAGTAAGCGAGGTGGCTTTGACTATTGATACAATGTATACAACATCGTTTTTATTTTATGTAAATTTTTATAATAATTTTATAAAAATTTTAATATTTATGATAATCATAATGTATATGACACCATTTTTTTTGTGTAAATTTTTATAATATCATTGTATAAAAATGTTTTCATGATATTCTTTTAACTATTTTTTATATAGCTATAAATTAGCATTTGGATAGAAAGAAACATGCGAGTTTATCGTGCTTCACCACTTTAAATGGACAATTGCACCTTTAATTACATTTTTTAATAGGTCTACTTACTGTAATTTAGAATTAGATTTCATATTGATAAGGATCTAAAAAGAAGGATTGAAATATTTATGAGTTCGTTATTGTTATTGTTATTCACGAGAATAAAAACATTTATGTGCACTCGAATAGCTGATTTTGGCTCTGATTAGTTTTTTTATATATTTTTTATATATTTTATTGATTAATTCGTTTGAGTCTCTTTTCATTGGTGGTTTGCTTAATAATTTTATTTTCTTATTTTTTTATTTTTATTTTATAAGTGCTATTTTAAACGCATTTCCAAAGAGCAATTCAACAAAAACGAAAAAAAATTCCAACGACCATTTTATACCAGTAATCAGCGAAAAGTTCGAACATTACATGAAACTTTATATATTTTATAATATATTATAGGACCATATATGTGTGATAAAACATAAACTATAGAAATCAAAGCCTTAAACGGTTTAGCTGGATTTTAATACTTGTATGATTCTTAATGAAAGAATGAATTTATATATTACGTATGTATATTACGTATGTAGTCCCCACAAACGCGCGCCGAAATAATTTTTCGATCTTAAAATGCTAACTCTACTAAACTACCACAGTAATATCACGAGTTAAATTGACTAACAATTTTTGATGCTTATTCGCATCTTCAAAACGATCTTAATAATGTTGAATATATTAAATAAATAAATAATATATTAAAATATTAATCCCGGCCGAGGTAATATTTTTCGCAATAAAAATTAATTATTTATAGATTTTAATATATTATTCAACATTATTAAGATCATATATTTTATTTTACAAACTCGGATTAAATTTGTATATTTCTGTTTCCTTTTTTAACAACGAATTTATTATTATAATTAGACTTATCTTTATGATATTATTATAATTAGACCCTTTTATGGTAATATTATTATAGATTCTTTTTAAATTTCTTTGTGATATTATAGACTCTTGTGAAACATGATGTGATATTACAATGATATGTCATGAAATTTTATTTTATTATGTCACAGACAAGTGCAATTCTTAAAATATAATTACATAAACAAAATAAAATTCAATTACGCTTTCTGTTTCCTTTTTGACAAGTAAATTATGTAAATTTTAGGTGAAACAATGCATTCAGTTTATTTTGCATCTATTGGAAATTTTCTTTATTGAAGTTGGATTATATTTTTATAAATTAAAGAAATAGTTCTATCTCAGAAAAAAAACTTTTAGCTGCAATCACAAAATATTTTGTTAAACGCAACAAATCACAAGGACATCAAAATAATGTCAAAAGGAGTAGGAAATGATTATAATACTCAATTGTTTATCATGATTTCATCATTTCTGTCAATTTGACATAATTTTGACATAATCGTATCGTAATCGTATTTTGACGCGTATCGTAAGGGTACTTATTTTTCTATATACACAGTTAAAAAGTCACCTAAAAATTATTATCATGTCAATAATTTGTCACGAAATCATCATCATTAAAAATGTATTGAATGACATCATTATGATTGTTCCTAAAATGATTTTTTCTTGGTGTCATTTTGATCTTATTATTTTGTGTTCTACCTGAGCATAATGCACTATGTAACCCAGGCATAATTATCTTTGAACAAGACTTTGTTTCAAAATGGAAAAATAAAAATGAGGAGAAATCTTTGAAGTTTATTATATTCGCTTTACCTTTGGCTGTACATATATTACATTAAAGCTCTATATATATTAAATTAATAAAATATATTTAAAAATGTAATCATAAAAATAAAATTTTTTAGAGTGTTCTTTTTCTCTCTCTTCTTCCTCTCATTAAGCACCTTATTTACTGATTAATTATTGAAGATTAATATTCTTATCTATGTTGCACACGTGCATGCATTCATGCGTGTATGTGAGCATGATCGATCGATTGGATAAAGCTATATATTTGCATTTATTAATTAGGAGTTTCAAATTGGGGAAATCTCTTAGAAATTTCGCATTTAAAAGAACATTACAGGAACATTTCAGATAAAGTTTTAATTAATGTAATTGCAGAAATATTATAATTGTAATATTTCAAAGAAGATAGTGATGATACACAATTAAGACATTAGAAGATCCCTATAACATAATTAAAACTTTTCGTGCTATCAGGGAATGTATAACAAGACATCTGCATATTTAAATACATTTACGTAAAATAATTCATGCAGTTACTGTCTTTTTTTTGTGATAAAAAACATAAGGATGGAATAATGCTCGCCAAAGTTGCAAACACCAAGTGAAACGCATTCATGCACAGAAATAACAATTTAGCTGAAATATCTAAACATTTGGCTGAAAACAGATCTGAAAATTTTGTAGGACTAATAAAATTCAAATAATTAAATAAGAATCTCAAGCATGATAAGCAATATTGTAAAAAGTTTTGACCTAGTAGTTTTAGTAATCAATCTGAGTATCCTAAGTAATTATTTTGAAAATTTAATATAATTATTTTCAGATCTGTATTTAGCTAAATTTTTAGATATTTCATGATTATGTTAAATTTAATTTACGTGTACCAAACGATCCACTAAATTTTTTGTATTAATTTAATAAGATGCATATATATAAAATAGTACAAAATATGTATAACACATATTATTTTAAAAATTAACACAGAAAATGTAACACTGATAGGTGTGGATATAATTGTGTGGATATAATATAAATAAATTATACAAATATATTTCTCTGTAAAATTAATATTTATAGCATATTTATTTACATGTTAATTAACACGTTTCAATAAAATTAACATTTACTATATATAAAATTAATACATTTTATTAATATTATTAGTATTTTATTAATATTATATTATTTTAGAATTTTTAATGTACGTTATTTTTATGTTTATTTTTATGTTATTATGTTGTTCACTTACTCATAAATTAAGAAATGTTAAATATCAATTTAATATAAAATATTTACATAACAGAATCATATAAATTAATATTCGAATATGTGTTACAAATTTTTAACACAAAGTTTTAACAAGAATTGACTTTAACATAAATACAAAATATTTTTTACTATACATATATAACATTAATGTGTAAAGAAACAAATAGCGTTTGCGTGAATTTTTTTTGACTTTTACAATTTTTGTTTGAAATATGACGAAATGTAATTAACCGTTCTTTGTTGACAGACTAGCGAACACTCGTTCATTCTTGCAAACACTGGTGCTGTCGACGTCGAATATACATGGCAGATAAACATGGATGAGCAGTATCCGGTGAGAACGATCGCAAATTATTCACGAGCTACATCAAGATCACGAAAGGACAATGTTCGATTTAAAGCTACTTCATTAACGTCTCAGGAACTATCTCATCAACGACATAATCCAAGTTTTGACAAGAGAGTAAAGTCAAATCGTCGACAGCTTCTGTCATCTCGAGGTAACTCAATTTCCGTACTGATTTATGAGGAAGAAAAACGGATCATATCCGAATCATTAAAAAATAAATGTCTACAGACAATTTTATCGAGGTTAAACCAACTGTTCGCTGTCCATCCGATCTCTTCAGCAGCAGTGCCGGATTGACGGAACGAAGTAGCGATAGCTGGTTAGAGAGCGACGATTTACCTTTTGAAATTTATCCCGAGAAGGGAATTTTACTCCCGGGTGAATCTGTGGAATGCATCTTGAGATTCTCTCCTATGGACGTGTTCGATTACAAAGCGTATCTTGCATGCAAGTACGATTACAATTTGTTTATTTGATTCAATTTAATCATTTAATTAGTAATTAAATCTTAGTAACATAATAAAACTTGTTCTAACTTGGCTCTGTAGAATACAAAGGGGCAAGAATGAGCATATTGATACACTAAAAATTGTTTAAAAAAATTTAGAAATCGATTACAAATCATCTTTGAGACTATTTTAAACCGACTTTTTGTAAAAAAAATCTTTTCTTTTTTACCTAAGGCTCAATTTTCAAATTTTTAATGTATTGATATGCGTATCGCTCATCCCTACAACAAGGAGCTTCTAGACTAGACAGGAGCGGAGCACTCATAGACTTTTATACATTAGACCGCTAATTTCCTTACAGTTAAAAGTTATATGGAAAAAATAGTTTTGCTTTGGACGTATCTAAAAATTTAGCTAAATTCAAATCTGAAAATAAATTTTGTTGCATTATCATAACAACTATGTAGAGAACACATGATTGCTAAAATGTCAAAATTTTGTCCTACAATTGCTCATTATGTATTATCTATTTAATTATTTTGAAGCTTCAAAATCATTATTAATCATTATTAAATCTATGTTCAGACTTGTTTTTATTACCTACTTAAATTTTTAGATATTTTATAATATTCTTTTCGAGTATGTACTATACAGGGTCCACTTAAATCAAACATTTTGAATATTTTATTTATCTTTGATGATACAAAAAAATGTTTCAAACGAATGGTTTCGAGGGGAACATATTTTGGTCATGTTTTTTTTTAGATGGAGGCGTCAAAAAAATATAAAAGTCATCTCTACTTTTTAAAATAAAATTGAATGATTTTTTTTACACAATATAATTTCTCTAATTATTTTGCATAAGTATTAAGGTAGTCAAAAAACCAATAGTTTACGAGATATTTTACACTTTATTCTGGCACATATTGATATAAATAAGCTATTAATTTTTTGATAATCATACTTTAATTCTTTTATGAATAGAATAATGAGATGAATCAGTGTGAATTAGTGTAAAGAAAACATATCATTGCTTAAAGCTTTTTAAAAAATATATAATGAATAATTTTTTTAATAAGTAACTATATGTTTTCTTTTCACCAACTGATTCATCTTATAATAAAGAATCTGTTCGTAAAAGTATTAAGGTACGATTATCAAAAAATTAATAGTTTACAAGTTATTTAACATTTTATGTTAATATATGTCAGAATAAAATATCTTGTCAACTATTGATTTTTTTATATTACCATTTTAATACTTTTATATGCAGAATAATTAGCGAAATCATATTATTAAAAAAAAAATCATACAATTCCATTTAAAAAAGAGGTAACCTTCATATCTTTTTAACGCCTTCACCTAAAAAAAACCAACATGATCAAAATACGTTCCGCCCTTCCACTTTCATTTTTTTATATCATCAAAAGTAAGTGAGATATTTCAGATGGTCGATTTAAGTAGACCATCCTATATATGCGTAAAGGAGATATGTATACTGCTATTGGCCGATGATGTAACAATAGAATAAACCACCATGGATCACGGATCATCGATCCATGTATGGATCATCGATTACCATGGTTTTACATAATCTAGAATGTTTAAATTAATACTACTGGTACAATATTGTTATTCCGTTGCCCATACTTTTTCTAGATGGCAATGATTAAATTCCATTGTATCGAAAAACATCGATCATTAATGATTTTCGTGATGCAATAGTAATTTTTTAACGACATAAAAATGTTTTAATATTGTTTTTGTAGTAGAAGATACATGTATGAAGATAAAGTACAAGTTTCTGCATCTTTTCTCAATTTATTATGTTACAAGTAATAATCTATATTTATTTTTATAATAATTTTTAATTTATTAATAATATTTATTTTTTACAGTTTTTTTCTATTAAATATATAATTAAATGTATAATTGGAGTACCATATATTTATGGGCCATACATTCATGATAAAACGAGACAATACAGAAAATATATGTACTAAAAGAGCAGTTTATATTTCTAAGCAATTAATTTTATTTTATCGTAATAAATTTTTTAGCTTGTATAAATGATTATTTTTCATTTGTTTTCTTATAACTTTCTATTTTATTATTTTATTATTATATTATTTAATAATTGTTAATTGTAATTTTATTGTATTAGTGACTATGCTAAGGATGTGCAAATTAATTGAAAATACTTTCCAATTTTTGTCACTTTTATTTCTTACATAATCCTATTATTTTGTGTGTTATTTATGGTATGGAGCGCCATAGATTATTTCTTTAAAAATGTTTTATTTTTTTCTTAAAAACTAATAAATATTTAACTAAGTTCACTTATTAAATTTTAAAATGCATTATGCATTATATTTAATTATTAAAAAAAATGATACAAAAATTTTTATATTCAGATATAAGAGATTTAAGAGTTTAGGTTTTTGTGTGATGCCCGATCTCCTCTATACATAAATAACATAAACATATTATGTTAATACTGGAATAGGGTAACTATCTCTATTAATGTGTCTTTTAGCCAATTTGTTTATTACTGAATTAATTGTTAAATATTGTAGCTTTAATTTTATCTGCTTGCAATTAATATTTTTCAACTATTTCTTTTTCTTATATTGTCACTTTTTTAATTTAAAAAATATTAATACTTCATAATGTTTTTGACAAAAATAAAAAACATGTTTTTGTCCCTATTAGTGAGTTTTTCCGGCAGCAATAGCCCTATTAATGTACCCCCAATTTGTGCCTATCCGCAGTTGACTCATTTTAACATATAGTTACTAAAACAGATAATAAATTTCAGCTAATTATTTAAGCTTCAATACAGAGCACATTAATAGAGACAGTTTAAAGCGACATATAGGGTTGTCCGGAAAGTTCGTGCCACAAAAGATTTAAATTTAAATGAAATTAAATGAAATTAAAAATTTAAATCTTCTGTGTTTCAATTTTCTTTCAAAATCGGCACGAACTTTCCGGACAACACAATATTACTGGATTCCAGAACTCAATAAAATAACTGATGTGACTTATTTAAAATAAAAAATATATTGGGAGTAAATTAGTTCGGTCCATTTCCCTAAAGATAGCTCTAGCTTGTGAATGTGACAGCTGATTTTGGAGGTTTCAGAGAGGTTAAACATCTGCTAATAATATTTTGCTAATAATTTATCGCTTTGAGTTTCATACAAAAACCTTGATTTTTACTGTATTTGAAATGTCGAATTTTGTATTAACCAAGCAGCATTTGCGGGAGATTTTGATTTTCTGCTTTAATTGGAAGAAAAGTGCGGCTGAAGCCTATCGAATGCTTGTCGAAGTTTATGGTGACACTGCTCCAACTGATAAATCATGTAGGGAATGATTTTGACGTTTCAAGGATTCAGCGTTGAAAACAAGCCTCGATCTGGACAATCAAAAATATTCGAAGACAAAGAATTAGAGGCACTCGAAGAAAATCAGAATCAAACACAAGAGAAGCTTGCAGAATCATTGGAGGTAACTCAACAAGCTGTTTCTGTAGGATTGAGAGCCATGGGAATGATTCAAAAACAAGGAAACTGGGTGCCTTATGAACTGAAACCGAGAGACGTTGAAAGGCGATTCTTCACTTGCAAACAGCTGATTCAAAGACAACAGAGAAAAGGTTTTTTGTGACTGGAGATGAGAAGTAGATATTCTACGACAATCCCAAGAAGAAAAAATACTATGCTAAGCCCGGTCAATCGTTGTCATCGACCTCAACATCAATCATCACGGCCGAACATTCATTCGAAGATCATGCTCTGTATCTGATGGGACCAAAAGGGTCTTGTTTACTATGAGCTGCTGAAACCTGGCGATTTCATTACGATCGGTACGACTACAATTGATTCATTTGAGCCGTGCATTGCGAGAAAAACAACCGGAAACGAGCAAAGATATGATAAAGACATGATAAAGTTATTCTTCTTCATGACAACGCTCGCTCGTAAAAAAATATTTGGAAACGCTCAAATGGAATGTTTTACCGCTATATTCTCCTTCTGATTGCTGGTTGTTCCGAAGGATACAACAAGTCACCGGTTCACTTCTTTCGCAGAAATCGAAAATTGGCTCCAAAATTGGATCGTCTCCAAAGAGTCATTTTTTCGAAAATTGCCTGAGAGATGGGAAAAAGTAGTAGGCAGCGATGGACAATACTTTAATTGATCTATTCATTCATTTTGTTTTGAAATAAATGCACAAAAAAACGGACCGAACTAATTTGTACTCCCAATAAAATAAGATAATAATCCAGTACTCCCAATAAAATAAATAATCCAGAAACTTATTTAAAGTATAAAATCGTGGGAGTCGGTAAAATCATTGATACGATTTATTTGAAATAAAAATATAAAATAGGTTCCAAAAACTGATTTAAAATATTAAACAAAAATAGGTCACGAGAAATTATTTAAAATATAAGAAGGGCCTTAAAATGCATTTATTTATTTAAAATAAAGAATAACTTTTATTTAAAATATAAAAATAACTTGTTTTTTATTTTAAATAAGTTTTTGAAAACTATTTCTTATTTTAAATAAAAAATAGATTTCGAAAAACTTATTTAAAATATAAAGTAAGAAATATGTATTTTAAATAAACGTTTCAAATAAAAAACATTTTTTAATGATTTTGTTTATTTGAATATATAAATGTATATTTTTAAATATAATGTTCCAGTTTTTTTATAACTACAGTCTATAATTAATACTTAATAATATTAATTCTTTGCGAACTAGGTGAAAATTCAACATGGATCATATGTGGGTATACCTCATACTTCATACGTGCTTTATTTCGTCATAAACTATAATTTAATAATTATAATTACTCACTGTCATTTTCACTGACAGATCGACAACATAACTGATACAATTTATTTAAAATATAAAATATAAAATAAGTTCCAAAAACTTATTTAAAATATTAAATAAGAAATAAGTCAGAAGAAGTTATTTTAAATACTAAATAATTGTTTAATTTTTTCTTTATTTAAAATATATATTTTAAATAAATTTATTTGAAATAAAATCGAGCCCTGCTGGATTCACATAAATTCCTCATATCTTTCGAAAAATATTTAAAATACACTTATACTTAAAAAATAAAATATTATATTCGGTATCGTATACAGTACATTAATAATTTAACTTAAAAAAAATATTTTTTCTTATTATTCGCTAGCTTTCTTTATGATTTATCGAAATACAAAAGCACACTAATAGGGACAGGCACAGTAATTGGGATCCTATGTTAAAACGTTCAACACAAACGATTAACAAGAATGTGAGTGAACATTGTGGTTTTAAATACAAATACATAATCTTTTATCGTTTATTTTTTATCGTGTATATGGTGTTTCTCTTGCTATGAATTTTACACATACTTTTCAGAGTCATGTATTTGAGCAAATTAACCGTTTAGTGCATAGTATAAATATTTGAAGCGTTTTTATGCTCAGTAGGTCCACAGAAAGTGCATCACTGGGAGGGGGGGGGGAAGGGACGTCCACGCTTACCGGATATATAAGATATACAAGTAAAGTGCTCCACGCGTCTTCTGCCCTTCTTCTTAGAATTCTCAAGTTAAGACTATCCTTTTCTTTAATTATTTTATTCGATTGTTTTATTTAATATTTAATGTATATCTAGATCTTTTAATATGCATAATTATTTTATATTAAATATACAAATGGGATGGTGCGCGCCGGATATATATTCTTATCTCATCTATCGAACATATTTCAATAATAAAGATATTTCCAAAAATCAAAATAAAATAAATATATCCAGATTTTTTTATTATAAATAAATCCTTTAATATGCATAGTTATGTATTAAATATAAGTGGGAGAGTACGCACACAGATACCGAATATAATATATTCTTGTCTCTATCGAATATGTTTCAATAATAAAAGATAAGATATTTTCAAAAATCGAAATAAAAGAAATATATAAGCTACAACTTACTGGTAGAGTCACGATGTGAGATATCCGTTTATTCAACGGGAGAGATTTATTGTATCCATAAATTCTTGGCATTGCCTGTATACGTGCGTTTCCGTTTGTCCGGTAAACAGAATGGAGAATCTCGAGCTACCAGAGTTGATTATTCCCATCATCGGAAGAAGTTTGTTGCCATACTGTCACTTCGACATATCGGAAAGTGACTATCTGTCCAGCGGTAGACGCGACATGAAACTGCCTGGACCCATCGGTTATCAACCGGATGATAATTCTCTTCCGGAGGGCACGAGAGTGATTGAGCTCGACGTGATCGGAATCAGCGGGTCTCATTTAAAGTAAATGTTATGGGCATTTTTCAGCAAAGATACAATGTAACACAGTGAATTATTATATCCTTATTGCACATTAATATTAAACAAAGATGGGATAATTCACTAAAATATTGTGTTTTTGTTGAAAAATGTCTAATCAAAGAAGCACAAATACAAATACGTTATCACAAATTTCAGAAAATTCCGAATGATAAATCCGACATCAGATGATTATCATTTTATCTGGGAAGATCGTACTCATCACGTCGAAGACGAGATTCCAAAATTTCATTGTGCACTTCCGGAAGGAATCGCTGAGAGAGGAAAACAAGTCGACTTCGCATTTACGTTTCTCGCAGAGAATATCGGCACTTTCGAATCTTTTTGGTTGTTCCGCGTTGAAAAATATAATCTGGAGTATCTCTTTTTATTCGTCGCGACGGTCAGAGAACCATCGATTTGTTGTCTTCGTGTCCATTTAAAAATGAGGCCAACCGTAATAGGTTAGATGAAGATACTAATAGAAAAATATACTTTTTAAATTCTTTGGAGTGGAATCTTACTTATTTTGAAAAAGAATGGCTTAATTTTCAATCTTTAAGAGTGATATTTTATTTTTCAAAGAGATTCACTTCAAAAGTTTTAGAGAGTTCCATACAATTAATATATATTAATATTTGTATTTTCTATAGGCGTCAATGTGCGAGAATCGATAAGCATCATCAATAAAGAGAAATTTCAGATTCCCTTTCAGATCACGCGAGACTCTTTATATTCTGAAGGATGTCTTCAATATTTGAAAATAACGCCCATAAATGGCATTTTGCCTGCAAAAGGCGAACAAATATTTTGGTAAACATAGAACAAGCAAGAGTTTTGAACATAAATTTTTTAGATGTTAATTAAATACTTTTTATTTATGTAGGATCGAATATCAGCCTACACTTGTTGGCGAATTTCAATTTTCTGTAAAATGCATTATAAAAGGAATGAAGACACCATTGACTATATTTATTACAACGATAACATACGATATTATTGTTTCGGTTACATATGTCGATCAGAACAGCCAGATAGTTCAATTAAATCAAGATAAAGAGAATATTATTGATTGTGGAAAAGTGCGTGTATAATAATTTGTTTTAACATTAAAAATAAATTTTGACAACATTAAGCATTTTTAATTTTTAGTTATTGTTAAAAGCGCCCATTACTATCGTGTTTGAAATAATAAACTCGAGCAAAATGACGCTTTATTATTCTTGGGATCTTGGAATGACATCAGAAATAATTAGCAGAAATATATACACGATTGTAATGCCTCAAAAGCAGGACCATGTGCTTAGCAAATCACGTTCCATCTGTTCTCTCATTGTTACAGCATTACAAAAGACGATGATAAAGAATCATCCTATTCTCTTGAAGGTAGCTTTATCGTTTAGCTGTCAATATTGCTGTCAATATGTTTTATGAGAAATATAAACGTAAACTTTGCAAATCTGTATCCCTTTTCTTTATTCAGATTTCCAGAGGGCCGACCTATCGTCTAATCTTAAAAGCGACGGCAAACAAACCAATTTTAGAGTTTAGTTTTAATTATTACGACTTTGGACCTTGCTATATTCGAGATGTTTCTGCGACTCCTTATCACGTCGATTTACGCATTACGAATTCAGATGATGTTTCGTACATGTAAGTTGATTTAACGTACTTATAGAAAATTAAAACATTAATTTTCGAACGAAACAATTCATTTTCTCAGACTGGAGTGCAAGTTTGAAGAGAAACCACACATCTCTGTAAATCTGGACGCTCTTTCAGAGAAAATAGTCGCTCGATCAAGTATTATAATTCCGATAATATTTCGACCTTTGGAACAGGTGCACTATCACGATGATTTACATTTTATAATCAATTCGACGATCGAAAAAAAAATTACTATAACTGGCGAGGGAATTATATATAAGGTAATGAAAAATTAAGCCAATATAGATTATGTCATTCGTTAACAGCTCATTAAATATTTGACGTCATCGTAGTCAATGTAAAAATTTATTGTAAATTTTATCCGCAGAATTATTTTTACTTGTACTCTGTTATGACAGATTCGTTTAGTAAATCCATGCGACAAATCGGTGAATCTTGGTAGCCTACTGATTAACAAAACAACAAGCAGAAAAGTGCCAGTGATCAATGATGGACGTGCTGCACTCGAATTAAAGTTCGATCTCATAAAGAATCTACCTGGATATGATCTATTTCATGAAAGAATTCAAAATTGTCCATTGATCAATCAGGAGAACTCCAAAATGGATCGCACTCAAGCTTCGATAACTGAAATAAAACGTTCGAATACTCTTGACGAAACTCTTCAGATGGAACCTAATTTGTCTCAAGTTCTGGAGATCGAGCCGGCAGAATCAATCGTACTTCAGCCAGGGAAAATCGCGAATATTGTCGTAAAATACAAACCTATTCACAGGATGCACCCTTTTGTCGTTAAGGTGGCTTTTCAAACCAATTCTACGATCCAACCGTTATTTATTTTGCGCGGAAGCTGTATAGGCGCGGAATTCCATTTGAACAGGACTTATGTGCCTTTCGGTATCGTTGTTCAAGGTTGTCTTAGCGAAGCAAAGATAATGTTATTGAATACGGGAGATATTGGTACCAGGTTAGTACCATAAATAAAAAATAAATAATGAATATAAGATTTTATATTAATCTGAAAAATCAAAAGATTTTGAAAAGTCTTTTGAAGTTACATAAAGTTCTTAAAAATATGTTCTTTTT